TTTTACTACTGCGCATTGCAGCCCCAAAAAGTTCTCGCACATTTTCATCTAAATTCGTGCTACTTAAATGTCTTCATCATCCATCAGGAAATTAACATTGCTTCAAATTTTGTTCGTAAGAAGTGTAAAAACGCTTGTATTTTCAACTTTTGATCAACAAAATTACCTCATATATCCTGGCTGCTCAAAATTTTCAAAGAAAAATGGAGCTTGAAAATAGCCATTTTCTGATTGACTTATTTTGAGAGACTGTGCTACATCGGTGACGACGTAAATCAAAAAGGCAATGCCTATTTTGGGATAAGGAACGACATAACTTTCATGTTTATCAATAAAAAAAAACCGATACAATAAAGTCGCCAGGTATTATTTTGAAACATCGTCCGCCACTGTGCACTGCTTTGAGTAACCCAGCTCGAGGTTAACCAATCGCCTCAACTGTTCAAGGTTGCTGCAAGCTCATTCCGACGGTTGCAAGCGTTTAACCTTGGGCCATTTCAATTATACGCGCGAGCAGTTCTCATACGCACGTGTGTGCACGTGCGTACGTACATCACCTTAGTATGTGCGCTCAACTGAAGAGCGTTTAGTAGAGATTTCACAGGACGCAATACGGGTTTCTAGAGCTAGGGCTTCTTAGTACCCAACACATACAATCCTTCGGCGTTTAAGGAATGCCAGCGCTACAGTATGTTCTAGAGTTTTAGAAAGCCGTGAACAAACCACTTCCCGTCGTCTTAGGAATGCTAGTGCTACAGCATCTTCTAGGGTTTCGGAACAACCTCAACAAACCACTATTCGTCGTTTAAGAAATGCCAGCGCTACTGCGTCTGCGGAACGTTTAGAATGTTCTGTGCAGACCGCTAATCGTCGTTTGAGAAGTTCCAGAATAACAGCGTGCAGCGTTATAATATGCATCCTCTGTCGTACACCGTTGGTGTGTTTCTCTCCTTACCATAAGAGCTGCTTTAGGTAACGCTAAATGAGCTTCATGCTCGCCTCAACTAACTACTAAAAACTACAAAAAAATTGTGCCACTTACAAGTACTCGCCCCGTCACCTTCCTATACTTCTATTATGTGCTTCTATTTGCGGTAGTGTCAGCGCCGGTCGTCTTTTGGGCAAAAGACGCGTCTGCCTTTCAAGCTATTCCGTTTTACTACGTTGCAACTGACACAGGGATTCATGTAATGTCTTGCACTCATGGATAATAAAACCATCCCAACGGAATTCAAAGCCATCTGCCACAACTCACCAAAAACTTCCTAAGGCCAGTGTTCGTATTGAACTTGACAACTTTTAATTAGAGGTGTCTTTATTAATGACAAAAGGGTGATGCTACCATGGTTGACCATTGATTCCTTTTAAGCCTTACAATTTTTCCTTGCGTTGTGCTGATGAATACCAACAACTTGTGTACATTATGTTTTTTTACGTGGCGAGCCATCAGTTCAACTAGACTTCAGCCTTACATGAGTGTACAAAATGAGTATGGCGGCTATGACATTCCATTCAGAGGAAGTTTACTCCCGGGCAACGCCGGGCTTTACTGCTAGTATATATATATATATATATATATATATATATATATATATATATATATATATATATATATATATATATGTGCATTTAGGCAGCAATCTCTGTTTTATGCTAGTTTCGATAAAAATGGCCGACAAGGTGATGTGGTTAAGTTTTGAGCACATCGAGACAGTGTAATGGTTATCAAGCTTGCTTCGCTAGAACAAATACGACTGTATAGTGAGTTCGATCCTCACTGGGTGCCCCATACTTTCGGCCTTGAGCCACTTCTAAGCTGCGCTTTGAAAAGCCCCATGGATTAAATAATTGTTTTATATATCCAAGCGGTTCTAAATACACATAGAGACCTAACTCTATCCGTTGATAATACAAAAAAGGCATCATCCCATGTACAAAATAGATAAAAATAATGGAAGGATTAGTATTGAAAATGAAATGTCAGCACTTAATAATATGAAACATGACACAGCCACAATGTGCTGACCATGTTTGCAAAATAAAACATTCTTAAAATCCTAGATATATACATAAATCAATCCATATGTTCTGTCAAAATAAAGTAAAATTCATCCATGATAATGGCTAAAAGAATAGCCGAAAGTGCTTGCATGTATAAAACATTCGGACGATTTTCATAAATTTTTTGTCCTGAAAAGGAAAAAAAATGCACACATGAACACACACGTGTGTGTGTAGCGGGGAGGCTGAGAATCGCAAGTCATTGTGACCGAGAGTTTGAGTGAGCTTCCCATGTTCAGATTGTTCAGCACACTAGATATCACGCTTCTCTCCCAGAAACTGTAACTAAGGTCTGCTCAACATATTTCAGTGTAAACTAGAATACGAGTGGCCAGTCATCTCATACACTCACACATACACACACATATATATTTGAGTGTGTGTGTGTATGTGTGTGTCCTTTCACTGTGCCATGTGTCCTCAAGGAGACATGGCACAGTGGATAAAGGTGTTGTTTAGATCCAGTGGCAGGACCCAAGAGTGTGAGTTCAATACCCTGTTAAGGCAGTGGATAACTTGCAGAGGGAAATTGACAGGAGATAACTGATAACTGACATTCATTAAAACGGCTCGTGGAACTACCCCAGTTTGCGAAATAAATAATTCAGTTCGATATTCCAACCACATGAAGAAGGTCGGAGCGTACAACAGCCGAAACTTTGTAATAAATATGGCAACAAAAATGAAGACAATAGTCCGAATAATGTAAATAGTGTACATAATACCTCATCTCCGAAATATAGACAGAATGGGTGTGGTTTGCTACAATGTGCGTAACTTGGCGGATCTGAGCATTGAACATTAGAACGAGGCACTTGACGCTGAGCAAGTAAATAACGATGAAGTAGTGAGACGTGTTCTTGGGAAAAAATGTCTCACCTGCAAGGATGTGGAGATGTTTTTGGACTGTATCGAGACTGAAAAGTGAAGACTGGTGAGGTCTTGCCCAATTATAGCACCAGAACTCCCTTTGAGGCTTGGCCTGGATCTTGTGTCGGTAGAGGAAAACACAAGGAAACAAATGTTTAATAGATTTAGTAGTTTTTGTCATATCAGTTAATTTAAGAATTAACTGATATGACAAAAGCTACTGCGCATTCCTTAATATCAACATTAAGAAGTTTATCCGAGAATTCAAATAAAAATAGACATGTCCAGATTGTCCAGATTATACAACCAAACATGCTTTAATATATATATATATATATATATATATATATATATATATATATATATATATATATATATATGTATGTATGTATAATAATATATATAAATATATATATATATATATTTTATATATATATATTTACATATTCATATATATATTTATATTTATATATATATATTTACATATTCATATATATATTTATATATATATATAAAATTAGAATATATATAAATATATATAACGATAATGTATATATATATATATATATATATATATATATATATATATATTTGGTTTTATTGATGTGAGTTTCTGACTGGGTTTCACGCTTTTGCGATCGTCAGACAAAGTGATTATTTTTTTTTAAATTTTGGGTTTATGTAGATTGCGTGTATGGGTGTTATTATGGGAGTGGGTGGAATCGTCGTTGTGATGTCATCGTGCTAACGCAAACATAGACGCATGTCCGTACATCCGATGAGGTACGCAGACATACATACACACTTGCTCCTCCGTCGGGACTCATACATATATAAACGTATGTGGACAGTTTGAGATTTGACATATGTATGTATATGGGTGGTGTTGTGTCTATACATACGCATTTGTATGTTGAAATTCAAAGATCGGAAGTGTAGCGAAAATTTCTCGTGAATGTCTCGTGAATGTATACGTGTCAAAATCAGAGCATTTTTCTATTTTTTCGCTGAATAATATTTGCTCGCATGGTGGGGTCTGTGCAAACTTATGATAGGTAAAAATTGTTATTATTTGTAACTTTAATTTTTTTAAAGTTTATTTGTTATTATTTTGAAGCTGGTTATTTGCTTGTTATTGATGACTGTGTATATGTAAGTGGTAGAAATTTCGGTTTGTAATCCTTATTGGTTATTTTTATGGTGGTATTAAATATGCTGGGGGCGAGGGTAGTTTACGTTAATAATTATGACGGTTTTATTTGATAATAGTAGATGTCATGTGATAGTAATGTTGTAAGGGGGTTGGTGGCAATGATAATATAAGTGGCTAATAGTTATTGTAAATTATTAGTAGTGATTAGTAATGTTGGTGGGAGAATAATAAAAACAATAAATGTAATTATTGTGGTGCTAGCTTGAACTAAAGAGTGATTGTTGGTGTTTTATTTTATTTCATATATTTATTTATTTATTTTGGTATGAATCCTGGTAATAGGTATTTATTCTCGTGCCTACATTTGGAAATTATTTCTGATCTTATTGGTTTTTATTTGGTGGTATTATATATGCTGGGGGAGTAATTTAGGTTAATAATTATAGTAATGGTGATGGGTGTTGATGGTAATGATAATATTAGTAGTTAATAGTTATTTTAAAGTGGTAGAAATGATTACTAATGGTGGTGCAATGATAATAACAATAAATGTAATTATTGTGATGGTAGTTTGAACTAAAGAGTGATTGTTGGTGTTTAATGATTTCTGTTATACTTTTTGTTTGACTCATTGATTCGTTTTCTACGGTTTGTCAACGCTTTGAAGTTTATTTAAAACCAGAAAAATATTTTTAGATTGCAGGAATTTATATATATATATATATATAAATATGTAGTAATACTTTTGTGATAAAGGGTGTATTGAATAATCCATAGCTAGAAGAAGTGCTGGATTCATACGTTTCCCAAGGTTATTTGTGCATCAATGAATATAATGAACTGAACGGAAAATCGAGCACAGCTCTCCGATTAAGAATTCAGAGCCATTTTCCATGCCTCGCTGACGCACATTCAGGCTTACAACACCTGATATTCCCAAGCTGTCACCCATCTCGGTACAGACCAAGCTTGACGTTGCTTAATTTCAGTGATCGTACGGTAACCGACGTTTCAACATAATGTAGACATAAGGTTATTTACCTCCCCCCACCATCGAGGTAGGATATGGCACCAGGCCGTTATTTAATGAGGGGTTAAAACCGAGCCCGTGAGCTCGAGCAAAAATTCCCCGTAGACCCCGGAAAAACAGGGTCGGGTAGCTGTCTACCACCTTAGATGAGGTCTGGGTTCCTCTAAACCCAAAGGCAGAGAGTTCGACCAGCCCAGCTGATGACGAATCTCCGACTAATTGCCGAAGCATGTCCGTAAGCTGCAATTTCTGTCATTCTATCGTCGATGAATTGTATTTACGTTTGCTGTTTTCCCTGTGCCATGTTCACTACATACATCATTTGATTAATAGAAATATATGGATCAGTTTCCGAAATTCGGTGAGTAGCATTCTCATTTGAATACAAAAAAAATATTGGCTTTTCAATAATGGTATTCAGAACTTTTTGCTACGAAAAATGATATTACTACAAATACAGAATAATTATGCTCTTGTATTTAGGTTTCTATTATTTGTATAGTCTACCTAGGGTCAAAATCTCCCCCTTAGCTCTCTACATATTATTCGTGTACTGTGCATGTGTTCTTAAGTTTTTGGTGTGTTACGTGATATCAACCATTCTTTCTCCCGTTGGGTTGAGTGAGCTAAGTGAAAGGAGAGATCAGTTTCATCTCGGTAGTTGTATTTTCAAACGTACACCGTCGTGTCACCTGCATCTATACACATTTTAAACGTTTCATTCCAAGCAATGTGTTACTGCGAGTAAAAGAAAATGTTAGTAAATAGAAAGTATAATAAAAAATACAAGATAAATACAAGGAAAACATAAGTTGGAAATTGATTTTAGATTTAAACTTTTGATGACCGTTGTTGACAGGATAGCAAGAGACTAGAAGAGAGTTTCACAAAGAAGATGTGCAAGAAAAGAAATTATTATTATGGAACGTTTGCTTAAGTTGAACTATTTCAAACGATGAGACCTATTTGCCTGTATAGCATTAAATTCAAATCCATGCTTTGATATCAAACAGAGCAAATAATAAATAATTAACAAATCGGAGATTTCAGAAAGCCATGGTAATATTTTATTTCGTGAGACCGATAAAATTCGATTTCGCTTCGTCATACCTGGCGGTTTCAAAACAATGTGTGGATTCAAAAATTATTCCAGCAATCAACCGACAAACGAAATGAAAATCAAGATTAGCGGAAGTTGTGTTTCAAGATAGTTACGCAGAGTAGAAAGGGAAGGAGGGAGGTATATGTCTGTAGGAGATACGATGGTCGTAGACTTGACCTCTCATTCACTGGACAAGAGAAAGGAATAAAGAAAGAAAGAGAAGCAGGGAACAGAAAAGAGGACGGGAGAAAGCAGAGATCGCACACAGATCGCTATACCTACATACATACATACTCATTTTTCTATATACACATATAATTACACACACACATATGTGCCTACACATTCGCATCCATCTACACATGTTTTCACGTAAATGTGTCCACCCATACATATGTATTCACATATATTCCTCCATGCTTATCTATTTATCTGTTCGTATTCATAAACACTTATGCGCATATTTAACTAGTACATTTCTAAATCAGTACTTAGGTAACGTGTAAGATTTTATCAAATACATTACTAATCGTGTATCTATAAAGAGGCGCTTAAATGTGTTTTCCATCAAGTGACCCCAGATATATACCCAACGCTTAATCTATGCCCCTAATTATGAGAGAATACAACATATAACACACGAATACACACCTCCTTTCTCATTAAGTGTCACAGAAATTTCATATGCCCTTCCTTATGTTAAGTATAAGCTTCCTCCTTGTTTGCATCCTCTCCAAGACCTCATCGTTGCTCACACGCTCGCTCCATGATATACTTAGCATTCTTCTGTGGGACCACATCTCCGCTGCCTCGAGTATCTTTTTCATCTCGGAGGAGACCGACCAACATTCGCTGCTGTAAAGGATGACAGATGTCACGTAACAGCTCAGTACCCTTTTCTTTGTCACCAAATAAATCCTCCTGACGTCATGAAAAACACTATATAAAATTCACTATTTTATACATAATTTTAAATGTCTTAAGCTTGTTCAACTTTTAACAAGAAAAATGTCAAGCTAATTTTAAAATTGTGTTAAAAAACATTGATTTATTTAAGATTCTATTTACATTGTATTTATTTTCATTTTTTTCTTGTTGAATTATTCACCTAAATTTATATGATCCATTATCGTACATAATTAGGTTACAATAAAATGTTTATTTTATATAAGTAATACCTTATGAAAATTGCGATGTAGTAGAGTTGGGGTTACGTATTATGGATTCGGGGGGTTATATTCGAAAGGGAACGAGATATTAGCACCAACCCTCTTCTCAGCATCCTTCTGTAGAACAAAATTTCTGCTTTGGGTTTTTTAGCATCCACTTAATCTTTATAGAAATTGGCAAACGCAAGAGGCTTGTTATTATATAGCTTTTCACCAGTTTTTTTTTCCTATTTTTTTACCATCAAAAAGCTCATTTAAATAATCGTATTTCATGAGCATATTTACATTATCATAGGATATGTTTAATATATTTGTGAAAGAAACATAACGACATGATCATTCTTTCATGTAATTTAAATGTGATATGCAATATTATATTGTCGTTTGGGATGTATGTTTCAGAAACACTGTAGATAACAAATCCAGCATCCATCCGATTATAATTAGTATTGGATCCGTAGTGCGATTATTTTAGAAAGCTTCATGAATTCATTGGAGCTTTTTAAATTAAAAAAAAATGGAAGGATTATCTCAGATTGAAAAGGGAGATCTTTCTTTCTAGTACTTCATTGTCGCCCATATTAATTTTACATTTGCTCCTGCTCACATACATTAGAACGCACTTAAGCTTATCACTTGTGTCTTGATTATTGATTGAAATTCGTTTTGTTTATATCTTCCTCTTTTAGCTCCATGAATATTTACTTTTATTTCAGTTTTCTTTGATTTTCTTTCAATTTTACTCTTGTTATTTTTTCTCGATCCTTATCAAATGTTTTCTTTCTTTTTTTTTCTTTCGCCATTCGCTTCAGTTAATCCTTATTTCTAGTTCACTTCAGGCTTACGTTTTTACATTTGTTTTTCTTTTCAACTTAATTTCTTAATGTTTTCTCTTTATTATTATTTTATTATTATTATTATTATTATTATTATTATTATTATTATTATTTTATTAATATTATTATTATTATTATTATTATTATTATTATTATTATTATTATTATATCCCATTTCTTCACCGAATCCTTCGTGTTCATAATTAATTTATTTTTCTCCTAAATGTTTCGTTTATACATCCCCCTCCATTTTTCTCCTACCCTTCGGCTTATTTACTGCTTCCAGTTCTGTCCATATTCGGCCATATTGCTTTGCCATCTTTTCATCATATCGTTTCGTAAAAGTCATCGAGTGAGTCAAGCGATAAATATTCGGCAGAATTTATTCAACAATCAATAAATATTTGTCATGCCAGCCGCGAAAATTGCACTTAGAATCACTATTTTATTATATAATCATTTATTTCCTTATGTATGTGTGTGTTTACTAGTGCGTGCGTGCGTGTGTGTGTGTAAGGGCAGTCTCGCGTTGATAGTATGTAGTGCCAGTGTTAGGAGAATGTATAATAGTGTCCGAAAGAAAAATGAAAAATTATGCGACAAAATGGACAAGCTTTCTTAAAAAGGCATTTCGCCGATGTGTGTTTCGTTCGGCTACTTCAGTCCGACATGAATGTCAAAATTGTGTACAAGGAAAATATATTATGATTTTGAGGATAAGAGGGGCAATAATTTAAATTTACTTTATCAGATCCGACGAGTAGAGGCCAGAATGATTTTGTTAGATTGTTTGTTTTTTTTATTTATTCTTATTTTTTTATTTTATTTTATTTTTTTTGGGCATTAGTGACGTTAGTGTCTATTCAATTAAATCGTATACTCAAAATTCCAACACATTTTCTTTACACCCATTAGTGTTTTTCTTTACAATCTGAGTAAACCGAAATCCGCACATGGGGATAAAGGCGTTGATTATATACAGTGACAAGACCCAAAGATTGTGAGTTCAATATCTGGTTAAGGCGGTGGAGAACTTTGAGAGGGGAATTAACAGGAAATAACTGACATCCATTACACATGGCACGTGGAACTAGAATAATCTACCCCAGTGAGCGAAATAAAGGGTTCAGTTCGACATTACAAACACCTGAAGAAGGCCGGAGCGTACAACGGGCGAAACGTTGTGATAAATATGGCGACAAAGATGTTCGAATAATGTAAATAAGCTGCATCTTCTAATATAACACTGCATAAGAAATATATATATATATATATATATATATATATGTGTGTGTGTGTGTGTGTGTGTGTGTGTGTGTGTGTGTGTGTCGGGGTTATCAACACCCAGCTGATGTGACAGTCTGTTTCCCTGCAAAACGCAATCTTTTCGTCCCTGATATTGATCACTGTAATTAGTAAATATAGCATACCTTAAAATATATATATATATATATATATATATATATATATATATATATATATATAAAAAAGGCTTAAACACTAATATTCCATGGTCATAATTTATTCCATTGGAATCGTAAATACGATCCAAATCATCAGACCTACAAATTCAAAATGAAAACAGAAAAAACAACTCCGGAAATCAAAACAGAATTTAGAGAAAGTGTAAGTATGAGGAGGAGGGACATGAAACCTTAACAGAGAGAATTTTTTGGAGATGTATGTGGGGTGGATTTAAAAGAGGAGAGAAAGAAAGTCGACGGATGTCTAATACATAAAGATACATTTCGTGGTGACATATACACACCACACACAATTCGGATAGGAAGGAAAAAAAAAAAAAAAAAAGGAAAGGGTGGGGGAGATGGATGGGACGAAGGAAAATAAAATTGTGTTTACTTAAAGGGCCGCTTTGTA